CTGGCCTGGCCAGAAGCCTCTCATGACGCCTGGGGACAACAGCTCAGGGGAAAAGCAGCCCGCCCGCTGCTGCCGCGCGTCCGGTTCCGGCTTCCGGCGTGCGCTGATTCTATTGGCCGACACTGGAGGACGGGCGGGGCGGCAGCCAATCGGAGGCTGGGGAGGGTCCCGGGAGGCCGGAGGCCAAGTGTGGCCAAAGGTAACGGAGGCTGTGGACGGCGGAGCTCCAGCGCGGCTACGTGGTTGGCTTCGACTTTTAACCCTCTTTAGCTGGCTGGAGTTATCTTCTTGGCTCTTCTCCGCTCCACGGAGCAAGCGCCTTTGCTATTTAAATCCAAGCCTCCAGGAGTTTCAGAGCCTCCTGGGGACGTGTTGCCCAGCAGACTCCTCGCCTCGGAGACTCAGAATCCCAGAGATTCGATCCGAGGTGCCTTGGAGGAGTAGGAGGAGGAGGCGAGGATTATACACTGTGCATGCCCAAGTGCTCCGGGTGATTCTCTGGCGAGGCTGCCTCTGTGACCTTGCCAGGAGCACGTCGGTCCTCTCAGGGTCTTATTCGGAGACTTTGCTGCTTGCTGCGTGCTGCCTGCTGGAGAGCTCCTGTGGTCGCTACAAGCCAGGCCCTTCTGAGGGTCTTGTTCCACAGCCTGCTTCTCCGTCCTTGGTCGTCATTCAACAGAAATTTTCTTTGACTTTTTTTTTTGGTACCGGGGATTGAACTTGGGTCCTTGGGCTTGCAAGGCAGGCCACCGAACCGCTGAGCTAAATCCCCGCCCCCTCCCCCTTTAAACAAATTTTCTTAACTTCCTGGTATAGGCCAGGTCCTGTACTAGGCAGGCAATAAATACGAACCTGACCCTGCGGTCACGGAGTAGGGACAGGCAATTAAAATAATTTCAGAATGTAATAACTACAGTAAAGGAAATGAGCAGTGAAGTAGTATAAAACAGAATTAGGGTGACTTCTGTATGGATTTGCCTTGCATGCCCGTGGCCATCTTGAATCATGACTGCTATACTTGTACCAGTTACCCTGGTCTGTTTTTCCTGCACTTTCCCAGGAAACCACAGATAGAACCACTGGAGTGGTATGTGGAGCTTAACAACTTGTCCTTGGAACTGGGGATGTACTCTTCTATATTATTTTACGATAAACCAGGTACATTCCAGCCCGGATGAAGTCACTTTTATCCTAAGCCATCTGTAAGCCCCTCCTCTACTCAACTTGCAGGGATCCACCTGGATTTCCTGCCTCTTTCTCAGGTTCATAGCATTTGGGGGCCAATCGTCTCCCACGTGGGCCAGATTGTTTTTCAGAGTAACTTCTCAACATGACCCCAAGGTCAGGAAAGGCCAATCTAAAGATGTGATATTTAAGCTGAAACCAGAAACTAGTTGTGTGTGATCTACTTCCCCAAAACAAAAACCATGGCTTTTATAACGTCTACCCTGCCCTTCAGTTTAACATCCATGATTCATAGACTTTTTTTTTTCCCTAGAAGGGTCTTGGCTGGCCTTGAACTCACTGAGATCCTCCTGCCTCAGCCTCCCAAGTGCTTGGATTACAGGTGTGCACCACCATACCCCGGCCAATTTCTATTTTATAGAAAACCATACTTTCAGAAATTGCCAGGATGACAAATTCTTGCCACTGAGCTGGGCTTCTTATGTCCCTCTCATCTGCTCCTACTTTCTGCAGGAAGGGAGGCCTCAAGTGACCTTCAGTTTCCTCCTCCTTCCCCCTTTCTTCAGCCCAGTACATTTGTGGAAGAGGATGTCATACACTGTCTCACTCTTTTCTGCTATAAGTGGATTGAGGATTTATAAGGAATAAAGGCTTGTTTAGCTCACAGTTTTGAAGGCTGGTGATTTCAAGATTGGGCAACTGAAATGGGTGAGGTTCTTCTTTTTTTTTGAGACAGGGTCTCACTATGTAGTTGAGACTGACCTGGAACTCACTGTGTAGCCCAGGCTGGTATGGAACTCACAGCGATCCTCCTGCCTCAGCCTCCCAAGTGCTGGGATTACAGGCCTACGCCACCATGCCGGGCTGGGTGAGGTTCTCCTTGCTAGTGGGGGTTCTCTGCAGAGTTCTGAAGGAGCACATGGCATCACATGATGAGACAGAACATCCTAGCTCAGGTTTCACCTCCTGTTTTTGTAAAGCTACAGTCCCATTGGATTAGGGCTCTATGTCCTCATGTAACCTTCACTGCGTCCCAGAGGGTCATCTCCAAGTAATACTAACTTGTGGCTTTGAGATTGTGTTTCCAGTACGTGAATTCCAAGGGCCTTACCCAAACCGTAGCACATTCCAGCCAAGTCTTCCACACAACCAAACTGCAGGTGGCATTAGGAACGTGCCGTGGACACGTGTCATGGAAATGTGGCATCTTCATTGGAGCACGAGGAAGCTGTGCCCCTGTGTCTGGGTGCCACAGTGTCCACCGGTAGAACCCTGTGGCCCTGGCGCGGGTGGACAGAGACCCTGGGATTAGTTCTTCACGAGGAAAATCTTTGTTGGGCGTGTCTGATCTCGCAGAGGGCAGAGAAACTGTGCTTGGCTCATTCTGCAAACAGCACTCTGAAGGCTGCTGCCAGCTTCTGAGCACACAGTTCCCCTTAGAAGGAAGCTGCAGAAACACACTGCCATCTGCCTAAGGGAGTCGCTGGTTCAGATGGGCTCCTTTAGTGCTCGTTCAGATTTTTTTGTCCTCGGACTGTCGTCTCTCCTCGATACTCCTGGTGTACCTCGGGCACCTTGAAGTTAATTTCAAATTCAAATGACCCTCAATTTAATTTCTAATTTCTGTATTTGCCTGCAGGACAGTTATCAATCTCTTCATCCCTCTTTCTTTCTCCTCCTCCTCCTCCCAAAACTTCCTTCCTTCTAATCTCTTGTTTCTACTTTTCTCTGTTCAAACTTGTTTTTCTGTAGGTGTCGATTGCTTATCGCTGCTTCTCCCCACTCAGATCACTGGTTCTAAAGACTTCCCCAATTTGAAAGTGAAATGAGGAAAAAAATTCTTTTTTTTGGTTTCTTGAGACAGGTTCTCACTATGTAGTTGAGACTGACCTGGAACTCACTGTGTAGCCCAGGCTTGTCTCGAACTCACAGCAATCCTCCTGCCTCAGCCTCCCGAGTGCTGGGATTACAGGTGTGCGCCACCACGCCTGGCTTATAATTCATTTTTCAATAGCATCAAAAAGAATAAAACATGTGACACAGGTAGACGGCAAACTACAAAACAGCATTGATGGAAATTAAAGAAAACCAAATTATGCATGGTTCATGGATTTGGAGATTTAATTGTTAGAGGGGAATAATCCTAAAGTTAATGTGCAGATTCAATGCAGTACCTTTGAGAATTTTGGCTCCTTTTTTCCCCCCTCAGAAATGGAAAAGCTGATCCTAAAATTCATACAGAAGCACTAAGGCAACAGAAAGAATGAAGGTCAGCATACTAGAGATGCCTGCATACCCATGTTTATCATAGAACAATTCACAGTCAAGCTAGGTTATCTGGTAGTGCATGGGTGGATCAAGAAAATGTGGTACATTTTCATGCGGAGTACTATGTGGCTATGAAGAAGAACCAAATCACGTCATTTCCGGGAAAACCATCACGTAAAAATCATCACGGGAAGCAAAATAAGCCAGACTCAGAAAGAAAAATCTTGTGTGTTTTCTATCATATGTTGAATCTAGGGGAGAAAAAGATGGCGTGAAAGTAGGAGGAAGACAGTTGGAGAAGAGGAAGAGGACTGGGGGCCGGGAGGGGAAAGGGGGTGAATGTGATCAAAGTTTGTCACGTGTGTGTATGCAAATGCCATAGGGAATCCCTTGTTCTGTGTGATTAATGGGCACCAATTTAAAAACACACCAAAACCACCCACCGAGGGACTCGAGAGGCCAAAACAATCTCTAAAAAGAAGAACAAACTGGGAAGACTCAACATTGCCTAACTTCAAAACTTACTACAATGCCACCACATCAGAACAATGAGGTACTGGCAAAAGGGTTGACATAGAGATCAACGGAATAAAACGAAGCGTCCATAAATAAAGCCATGCACCTATGGTCGCTTGAATTTTAAAAATTAATTGTTGTTCTTTTGAGAAAGGGTTTCACTGCATATTCTCGCCTGAACTTGAACTCATTATATAGTCCAGTCTGGCCTTAAACTTGCAGTGATCTTCCTGCCTCAGCCTTCTGAGTGCTGGGATTGCAGGTGTGTACCACCACAGCTGGATTGATTGCTTGATTTTTGAAAATAAACGTCACGAAGGGAAGAGCAAGTGAAGCCTTTTTTTTTGTTTGCTTTTTGAGACAGGGTCTTACCATGTAGCCCAGGCTGACCTCAAATCTTGTGAATCCTTCTGCCTCAGCCTCCCAAGTGCCAGCACTGTAGGCATGAGCCACCATTCTCAGTGGCTTAGAGGAACTGAAGCTCTTGTACACAGTTGGTAGGAATGTTAAATTATGCAGTCATTGTGGAGATCATTTTGGCAGTATCGGAAAAAGTTAAGCACGCAGTTGCCGTGCGGCTCAGCAGTTCTTCTTCTAGGTACTCAAGAGAACTTGGAAAGTGTGTTCACACAAAACTTGCGCATGAATATTTAGAGTAGCATTATTCCTAATAGCCAAAAAATAGAAACAGCCCTCACACAGCCCATCAACAGATGAAATGGATGAATCCAACGTGGCTTATTCACACAATGGAATGTTATTTGGCCACAGAAACCAATAAAGCAGTCGTGGGCTTGCAGTGTGGATATACCTTGGAAAATCTTGTGAATGAAGACATTCACAAGAGGCTACACCCTATATGAGCCTTCCAGAACAGGCACATCCACAGACAGGAGATAGTGGCTGTGAGGACCTAGGTACCGCTATCAGACAGGAGGCTCTGGTGGGGTGATTAAAGTACTCTGGAGTTAGTCGGGGGCAGTGATCGTACGACATTGCGAACATCCTAAAATCTCTAAAATGGTGAATGTTATGTCACATTACCTTTATCTTAA